GGTGATTGTGATTGCTGGGAATGGAAGGGATGGGTACCGGTGTTGTGGCAGTGGAGTGAGGCGGAAAAGTATAATGGCTTTGGGATCTGTGATTGGATTAGATTGATGGATGGGGAAAAGAGTGAAGATTTTAAAGTGTGTTTTGATGCAGGCTTGTATGCATGCATGCTTGTATACATGCTATCTGGACAGGCGGTGGAGAGGCGCTGACGAGGTTAGTGGCGATGAAGGGGAGGGAAATTGGATATGCATTATTTGTAGTGCGATGGGGCGCCGGGAGATGAGGTCGGAAAGTGTAATTTTGAATTTGGGGATGGGTGTAATGGAAGGAGATGGAAGGAAGGGCATGGACTAAAATTTTATTCTAGAAGGATTATCTGAGATCTCAAAGTCCAAGTCTAAATTAATATTATAAGAAAGTAAGTGAGTTGCTTTGTCAGTGAGGTACTTCATATAGGAAATTGGGTGTGAGGGTATCAGAAGAGATTCTCACGAGCTTTGATCTTCGTGTTGCGGAAATACACATTAGCACGGTCGATAGTTTTTGTGACTTCCTGCCGTCGGTCTATTTTTAGTTTTGTTTCTATGATCGAGGAAAAATAGAGGGACTTTGAGAAGGTGTAGAGGTAGGTATGGATATGATGAGCTAGTTCATGAGTGGAAGTTTACAGATTGATTTTGAAGACTGAGCGTGTATCCGATGTCCATAAGTTTTCTGTGCTATGAGGGTATTGATGCGAGGAAAGACTTGTACGACCAGGTCTACTAGAAATCTACACATATTCTTATATCGTTCTTCGTAAATTGGAAGCGTGGTCACAGAGAATGAGGACTTAAAGATCGTGATTCCGGCTTTTGTAATCGAACTTTATCTGTCTGAATTGACCTGACATGGACACTATGCTTTTCGGTCTCAAATTGCATATCTCTATTTATAAGCAGCGCAATAATGTGATAGTTGATGCAAATATCAAATGTAAATATAGTGCAGATGGGGGGGGGGGGGGGGGGGGGGGGTGTACATTCAACATCTTTCGTATTCTGTCCAGTTCATAATGTCTTTGCTGCCATATGTTCTCAAAAGTAATTCCGATGTAAGAATAAGAGCCGTACAATCGTTCACAATCTCCCGAAAACATACCCGAAGCTTCCGGTCATTGAATGCTACCGGCGATACACCGTGAGACAGTCGGGGTAAAAAGTATAACTCTTGGATAGTGGAATGGATTACTCGGACACAGGTCCTCAGATTTTGACGTTCCTCTTACTCGAGTAGACTGGCGGAATCGACAGGACACACTTTTGACTTCTAGCCTAAAGTAGCTCCCACCACTAATCGTTGAGTACTTCAGAAACTTCATTGGATCGCTCAGAAGTTCAGATATGCGATCATACTCTTAGCTGAATGCTATGGGTCTAGACCTCTCTATCGTATCTGTGGACAGAGAAAGGAAGACAGATTCCCTAAAAGATTTGTACGGAGCACACTTTTGTGATGAATTTGCAATTCTATTTTGCTTGGGGGGAGGGGGATTCTCGGTGTTTATAAATAACCATGAACTTCTACAATGATTACTACAGTATGTTGAAATAGTCAAGGCCTGTAAGTATGACATGTCCTCAAATTAAGTATCGATAAGGATTAAATGTAGTAACTCAAGATTTCAAATTGAACTTAAGATAGAAAGCTCATTGTCCGAGTTGCTAAGGAACGACCAGAGACTACTACACAATTGTGATTAGATGTAATTTCTAAATCGACAACTGAATTCTCCTAGTCTGCAAGTAAAAAAATCAAATATCCAGTATGAAAGCCATTTACCTAGAACCCTCAATCTTGAAGAGTCTCATTGAATAATAGAACGCGAAAGAAATCATAGCTAACGACGATGTTTATACGTAAGCCCCTTCATTAAAATTCGGTTATTATTGTTCACGTAGCCCAATCCAAGGTAGAACTTTACCCGCAGTCTTTTTCGTTCCAAAGTTTGAGGATTGTATATTATTGATTAAGCTATAGCCAGAAAAATCCAACTGTGAAAATTTAGGAATTCGTCGCTCGGGGCTTCAAAAAAAATTGATCCTCGCAAGACTTTAGGATTCTCCTTGTCCTGAAGTTATCGGTACAAGGAATGCGTAGTTTTTGATCCGCGACAATACTCTGCATTGAATCTATCTTAAAGCTAGACTCTTCAAGATTTATTGATATCATATCAATCACAGAATACTTCGTATGGCATAGACAATCCAAAGAAAACTCGGGTATTTGCTCTCCGGTACGCACTTCGCCCACACGGGGATCTCAATACTATGATCTAGCCATTGCCAATCAGCATCCAGAACTTAGCAAAATTTTTATCTAAAGGAAGTTGTCATATCAATCAGTGTCTGAACCCTGGAAGTGTATTCAATAACAACAGAAAAACGTGAATTTGGGGCATTGATGTGTTTTCTTGAATGTTTTCGAAACCACAGCATAAGAGTTGGCAATCTAAGGTACCGGTGGAACTTAGCTATTAATATGATAAGTGGTCCCGGACTTGGTAGACGGAGCTAAAGTCTATGCAGAATGTAAGCTCCTGTAGACCATTCCTCTTCCAATTCCAGATCATTTCGTCAGGGAATAGGAGTCGGGATTGATCTGACTATATTGATCATTATGACTATTTAGAACCTGTCACCAAAGGATATAAGCAGACTTCTAGGCACATATTGAGGATGACTCCGACAACCTCATTTGTATCACTTGCAGATATTATGCTCTGAGCAACAGCTTTGTCTTGGGTTTCTTGTTCAGACCCCTTCTCCCCATCCTTCGCAGCACCACTTTATCCTCCTCACTTGTCAAACCAGAAACAAGTCTCTCCAACCGCGATGTCTTCCCTCAAACCCTCCCCCATAAAAGATCTCGTATCGCGTCGATCACTTGCACACCGATTTTCCATTAATTCGTGACTCCACCACGAAGGAACCAAAGTAAAAAATACGACGCGCATCACGCGAATATATCATGGACACCGGACACTTCCATGATTCAAGGAACGGTAATTGATGGCGCAGAGAAAGCTGGCATAAGTGTATGTGATGATTGTGAAAGTGATTTTGCCGCCGTGCTTCTACTTCTCTGCGGCAACGGGCTAATAAAGAATGAAGCTCTGACATAACTAACGTGAAGCTTCTCGCTCAGATGAATATACAAATAATCTTAAGATGCTTCACAGACTTCACAGGCCCAATGAAATACACGGATTTAGCCATTTTTCATTCTGTGGCAGTTGCAGATATGGAGTCTAGTATGCTTGAAACCATCCTTAATTTTGTGCAAGATACTACTAGTATGAGGAATTGTGGTTCCAATCATGACTTCAGCGACTGAGTATACCGATGAAGAAACATAGATTTCCAGTTGTTGCCATGATATAACTTTCAACTTGAGCTGACGAAGGTCATGAATGTATGTGTTTCTGCGGTGACAAGAATCACTGCATGATAGTGATCTAGAGACTGTCTACGACACTCTTATGAAATAGCATGTATCTTTGGGGTATAAGGGCTTTGATACAGAACCTGATGATATAGGAATACTCATTCTCAGTTGGATCTGAGAATGAGAAGGGTTGGTTCAGGGTCGTTGGGGTGCGTGATCTAAGTAAACAGAGTTTTATTATGCTGCATGATTCAGATGAACAAGAAGTCATAATATGGATAATTTGGAATAACAAAGACTGTACCGTGCATAGACCGAGACGTACTTGCGAATGAAGGGCAATTCAGAAGAACCATCTGGAATACCAGAGAGAGTTCTGGAGCATTCATAACAAGAAAGAAAGCACAAACACAGAATCAAGCAAAAGGCTGGCATCTTCTTTGACGCATAGAGAAAGAGGGAGATAATCAACAGAGATTGCGAAGGAGGTATACGCCATATATGAGCATATTTGATGAGTAAGGGAGAAGGCTGAAGTCATAATTTAGAGCCACTTGGTCTTCTGATACTATCATTAGCTTGATGCTATGGTCAAGAGCACCAAAAGTCCAAAACGATGATACCTGTAGATGCCTGACTCCCGTCTCTTCAAGAATTACCCTATCATTCCACGGCTTTGTGAGTCAAACAACAAAAGACTTTGAAATCAGGTTTCTGCTTATAGAGCTCCTAAGGTGAACGATTGTATATTGTATCAATGCATCGCTCTGGAGACAGAAGGAATTCGTTCCCTTTCACCTGTATACTGGGAATAATCGTAGATATGCATTGGAGCAATCCTTGCCACCAAAGCTCCTGCGACAACAGAGTTTCTGCTCATTGATCCAAGATCAGGTTCTCTAACGATAAATTGAGGTCTGCACGGGACGGAATGCGAGCCATCAGGTAAACAGAATGTCAGCCGACAAGTAAGAAAGCGGAGTCTTATTCTGCTATCCCCAAAGTGTAGCATTGTTGGCCCATCGTGTTGATGCTTCGTAAACGATGACGGCGGGGAGACAAATACACCTCAGAGTAAGGCTAGGTGTTGTGAAGTAGTCTTCTGTTTCTACTTAATCCCTTACTTATACGCCGCTCTTTGGGTTTTCCGTTACATCACGAAAACAAACATAAAATTTCTGGTGAATGAGTGAATGAATGGTTGAATATTGCTAGTGAGTAGGAAACAGGTGATTACCCACTAAGGCTTTGTTGGGCCTAGCGCAGTAATACCTTATCCTCCTTATCTTCACAACGTTTTCCATTTTGTATCACCAAAGCAAGCATCGAGAAGCTCCAAGATGGATGGACATATCACATTTTCAATCGCTCCCACCGAAAAGAAATGATTCCATCGCAGGAAATATCGATGCTGTGACATGGATGGACAAATGCCCAAGGGTTCCTACCCCCTTGAGAGATAACGCGACATTATCGCCATCGATATAAGTTTCTTGCGTGATTGATCTCTGGACCTCGACGCTGGACTATATAAAGTCCACAGGATTCCCATTTCCAAGACTCACTCGACTCTTCGTTTACACTCTCATTTCGCTTCATCTCATCACATTTCAGGATGCACAATAAGATGCATAGTTGCTTTCGAACGCATTGGTTTTATCGTGAAGTTAAAATGGTAAGCCATTACAATATTAAGTGGGAAGAATTAATTTTAAACACCCAGCGGTCATACACATCAATCTCGTTTCGTGTTCCAGTTCCTTTTCTAAACTTTCTAAGCCGTTCAAACCTTAACATTCCATCATTATGACAACCTTCATATCCTTATCATTCATCCGATTATTTAGAAGGCAAAGACAGCGACGACACCAAGAGCAAGAGCACCTGCAAAGCTAGCCTTAACTTGAGCTCCAGCACCGGTGAATGGAACCGTCGATGAGGTAGGTGATGGACCGGTAGCGGTAGCGTTGGATCCAGAGCCCCCGGTTGGTGCAGCTACGCCTGAAGTGATTGTGGTGGCGACAACAGACGATACTGGAGTCGAGGCTTGGGAAGAGACAGGAGTGGAGGCGGCGGTGGAAGAGACTACAGGTGGCGACTCGGTAGCGGATGAAGAAGTAGCGGTAGCAGAGCTGCTGGGTTCGACGGCCGAAGAAGATGGAGCAGCGCTAGCAGAGCTAGCAGAACTTGGTGCAGCAGATGAGGCAGGAAGAGCAGCACATGCGGCAGCAGCGGCAGCTGGAACGGCTAAACTGGAGTCAGTTGGATCGATTTGAAGATCAAAATACACTACTTACTCAAAGCAACGGTGATACCACAGGAACTGATGACACAAGTTGTAGCAGCGTTTTGAATACTCGAGACGTTGTCAGGTAGACATTGGCAGGCTTTATCAGTAGCTCCACAGGTGGTCTCTGATTTAACTGCATTGTCGATACAAGGTTGCGCGCAAGCTGGAATTCCGCTGTCTTGAGCAAGAGCCAAGCTGGCAACAGCCAAAACTGAGACGATGGTGAACTGCATTTTGATGGTTATTTGAGTATAAGGATTGCCTTAAAACGAGTGATTGGCAACGAAAATGATCGATGATATACAGAGAGTCTTGATGTTTACTTTTGAAAGACGGTTGGAGAAGTAAATTACTCAGAGCTACAGATGATCACACTTATATATCTGTGAACAAGACTAATACGAGAATCAATTTAGGAAGATATTCTATAATGTCTAATTACTCCACATTCTGTAGTAAATGACCAGCCAAGAGACAACCAACAACTTGTTTCCTATTTTGTAACAAAACCCGTCAATGGTGCCAACGAGCGACAAACAGGGTATCGAGTCAGCTTGGAGAAACCCGGCCACTTGTGCGGAGAACGCTGTTCGATCGAAAAAGTAGGATCAACAAGCTCCCAGAGAGCTTGAATCACAGCAAGGGGGATGTCCAACATGTCCACTAAAGATATAGCAAGTGTTACATACTTAGGGCAATGTATCGCAGTGATTGGATATGGCTATTATCGATCAATCAACTTCAAGAGGTAACCTCTCATTGTGATGCAGGAACAACATTGTTAACATTTACTGCCGAAAGAGCCTTCCAATGGCACCTATCATTCCAACTATTTCAAGTGTGGCCAATACTGAAAGTTCGTATTCCCTCTTATTATTATACTAGGAAAAATCTAGAGGCGGGAATATTTATTGGATTCAATTTGATTGGGGCGAAGTCTGGAGATTCTGGGGTATGACAAGGATGATTATGCACAGTCTGGGGTAACACGCCAACCAACTGAGCCAACCTATGCTACACCACACTTTACTAACTACATCGGCAAATCTCTTCCGATACCGAGGAAGACATCCTTTTGACATCTGATCTTATTTACATGTAAGAAGTTACCACTCAAGCCACTCGAGTTTCTGGGACATTCCTACCGAAGTTCCAAATTTAAGCAATTGCTCCTCTTGAGAAAAATCCCCCCCCTCTCCCCTCGCAACATTTTTGCAGCAGAGGTATTTTCCGAATGCATGCAGTCATTTGAATACCAAATTTTTGAAATTATATTTTCCTTTGAAGCAATCTGCTTCGAGCAGAGCTTCGCAGCGTATATACATAAACAAGAGTCTTGTTGAAGCTGACAAGGACAAAAGATACTGAAAGTAAACCCCCTCAATGTTGTTTGACAAATTAAAATGAAGCAAAAGATTCACCACGACCACCAACAATTAATCGGCCCTCCTAAGTCTGTGCAAGTGTACACTTTCGGAACGCCCAATAGATCCCTTATGAAAAACCTGTGCTGGGGTCCTAACATATCATGTTGATTTCTATTCACGGCACGAATCAAACTTCATTTTCGAGAATCGAATCGGAAATCATCCTGGTTGCTACGCTTAAAATCGAAGAGATTCTTATCGAATCAAAAAGGTATCATGCGACCTTTTAGTTTCTATTATATAATTGCAACTGAGATCTACGATCATTTCTCAATCTCTCAACAGTGTTAATTTACACACCATGGCATTGAACTTTGATGTCGGTTGTGATTCCTAGAAAGATGTTAATCTTGGACTAAAAGAGCATACGAGTTTTCGTCGAATACATAATAAGTTGTTACATTGCGTGTACCTGATCTACGGTTATAGTCTGTCTTAGCTGACCGAAATAGTTCAGGGCTTTACGGAGAAGCCCGAGCAACGTGCGTGAGGAAGCACGATATTGAAATGACGACTTTGAGTTACTTTCACATGTTACTCAACTCGATTTTGGAGTTTTTCAGTACGAATTGAATGTTTCGCAATAAAATCATTTGTCGGTAGGTATTGCTGTTGAGGTTTACTCTCAATTCTTAAATACATTAGTTGCACAGACAATTCGCTATGTTTGAATTATGAACAAACTATTAGACGTTCCACCATCGGTACGTCTAAAAGCTCGAGCACTTGGCGCTTTGAAATTGCAGTGGTTTTGAAAATTCCTGATAGCTTGCTTCGATTATTCTAGTCAATTATTATTCTCCTATTTCTATCTGTCTAACCTTCGTCCTCACAGCCAATTGTCGGACGAGGCAAACGAATCGCAAATCAATTCAAAACAAAAAAATCGCCGAACTCAATTGTATCGGGATTCGGAATATGCTATCACGATGCAGATGCGTGGCATCCTCCTGTACTCTGTTATTGACGATATGTTTGATGCTAGGTCAGCGTACAAACATTGTTGCTTGGGCGAGTTTGGTCTCTACTCAGTTAGCCGCGTTATTGTTCTATACTTGCTCTCGAGATACTCCCATCGAACATCTTTGCATATCCGCGAGGAGATTCACGACCAGAACGAAGCAGTCCAATGGAAGAGTCTTTCAGAGTAATAACGCTATCAACAGGCTTGCTCTTCCTCATTCCCTTCAACCATGCGGTCCCTTTTTGTATTGGCTGACTTCGCCATGTCATGCTATTTTCCTCGTTCTGCTCAGTGCTTCATATCATTAGCATTCTGCCTTTGTTTCGATATATGTTGCTGAGTATACTTTGCTGAGAATTTTACAATACCATATTTTTTGAAGAATTTGTTCTTTTGTGATACTTTTCTCTGCATAACCTCACTGCTAACAGAAAAGGATCTCGTAAGATTCGTATCTACGGTAGATCTCATGCTCAAGTCGTGTCGCGCGCCGTCGTTACGAGTTGACTCACATCGACCGCCTTGATTTGAACAAGTGGACTGATTTGAACGCATGGATCGAAATTGGAAGGATGGTCTATTAGGCATCTCGATTATTGTCAATCTTTGGCATGAATTTATCGCAAAAAGACAACGAGAGGGTCGATTTGTAAAAAACTTCGAGGATGCAAATATTCTTGTGCGGGTAGTGAAAAGCTACCCTGAAAAAGCTTCCACCAAACATAAGTCTCGCCCATAAAACACAGACCTTTCGAAACCCATCGTGTCTGTAGCAACACAGTATATAGCATGATATTATTACTTATTGCATGACATTGCACAGTCGTCTTGATTTTTGAACCCCTCTTATTTGCTGACAGAGCGGATAAGGCGGAGTCTGTGCATTCCGGTGCATGGTTCGCTCAATGACTTTTGAGGGGCAAGGTCCTTTTCAAACAGTTAAGCATCTCATGTATTCATGCCAAAGCTCTCCGAGACGAATTAAAATCCACCTGTCAAATACAAAATGTCTGATCTCTCTCACAATATGTTTCGTTTCTTGTTTGAATAGTACATTTTCGTCCCATAACGAACTACTATAGAATCGCATTAAAGACTTCTTACATGAAGTGTTGAATAATGAAATTGTTTTATGGTTTGTGTACTTGGTGGGTGAATTTTATTCTATTTTGCTTCTCGTTAGCACTGACGAATAGGGTGAAAAGTGCGAGTATGGAGCAGCTTGATAAGTTTATCTGTCATTGTCGTCTATTGATTGATCTCTTGACATTTGCATCTTTTTCTTCACTTAATTTTTTCTTTTTTTGTTCACTTAGTAAAGCGCCCTTGATGGGCTAGCTATCGACTCATTAATTTTCTCATGTTTTGTTTCTGCGATACTAGATGGAGGATATAGATTTCCCTTTAAAATTCTTAAAAGCAACATGAATGAAAGAGATGAAGATCAGAGTCAGGACAGTCCATTCGGCATACCTCAATCTTCAAATAATGATGGAACAAAAAGTAGTAATAATATTCCCTCCACATCGTCATCCACAAGTCCTCTTGGTCTTGAACCTAACCTCATTGCCTCTCCATCAAAAGGTTTGGACCTAGGCTATATCATCGGCATAATTGTCGCGGTCACTGTCGCCATCTTTCTCATCATCGCTCTAATCGACGTCCTCCTTCTTTCTTCCCGTATCCAAAAATCGATATTGAGGAATGGATTCCTGAAATTAAATGGGAGACGGCAATCTGCCTCTTTCCAATACCACTCTCGATGGAATGAGAAATTAGATAAGAAACCTTTACCTACAATCCCTGATCCGGCGTTTCTCTCGAGTAATAGGAGGAGGAGTGACTTTTCGGGATACTCGGAGTCAAGGTACTCGAGAAGTATGTCTTTTGATAGTGGTGTGGGGTGGGGTAGAGATGAAGAGGAAGGGTATGCGAAGAGTTTCATCAGGGGCGGAAGAGAGTGGGATGAGAAATCCATGAGATCGACTGCGAAGTCTGCGAAGTCGGCGAGGCAAGAGAGGGAGAGTAAAGATAATAGGGTAATCAGACCGGGCATGGGAGTTGGAAAAGGGGATGACGAGGGGGAAGGAGAATGGTATTCGATGTATGAGGAATCAATTTATACGGATGACGGACGAGAAAATTCGATTCCGGATATTCATCATCCTTCCTATTCATTACATACCCCTGGCACATCTCAATCTACGGACCGCATGAAAGAAAAACCATACGACGAAGAGAGCTCAATGGGATTAACAACAAAAGAAAGAGCAGAGATCAAAAGAACGAAAACTACTCCATACACATATGAAGGAAGAATTAAAGCGGGAATGGGCGTGCAGAAAAGATATACGATGATTTTTGTGAGGGAGGTGGAAGAGGTGAGGAGGGCGATGGAGAGAATGGAGAGGCTGGAGGAGAGGGATAGAGTGAATTTTGAGATTTGGAGGAGGTTTTGGAGGAAGGGGGGTGGGGCGAAATGATAGTAGAGGTTGGGGGAATATAAGGAAAGGAACTGCGGAGTAGAGGATCTGGAGAAGGGTCTTGGTTGAGGGCTCTGAGGTTTGGAAGTCACAAATGGGGTGTCGGAGGTGGTTCTTGTATATAGTGATTTGAAGTGGATTTGGGATTTGAAATTGATTGGTGTGGTCACCCGTGAGTCACCAGCTGGATACCTGGAGCTCGGTTTAGTAATTTGATAGATGATATATGGACTAATGAATGCTCTTCACCTTGATGTGTTGGTGTATTCAATAGACCTCACTTTGAATCCTCTATAGTTGATTAGTGTAGATGGACATTCCCGATCTCTCTCTCGATATGCTAAGTTTCTTTGCTCTTAGGGATTCGATGATCGATACATGGATTTAATACTCGGTGCTGTACGAGTAGTGTGGGATAGACATAATGATATTAGTAAATGTGCTAACTTACTCGCTTCTTCACTTTGGAACTTGGATTTTCTCGTATCTTGTTTGAACCTCATATCCTTGGCGAGCGGAAATCAATGATTAGATAGATGGTAATGCTCTAGTGTATATATGCATAGATAATGAGTGAGCGTCTTGGAGGGGAAAGACGAGAGATGAGAGATGAAATATAATATGGAGGACTAGATGACATAGTATAGTATAGTCAGAACAAAATGTGTAGGAAGCAGTTAGGATAACCTCATTGCTGCAAATAGGTAAATAGATATTTAATTATGAGCATTATAGTGATTACAAGAGTGCTACTTAGTTTCAGTGGTGGATCCGAGTATCTATCTACAATCACAACCCTATTCCTAAGATCATAACCTAACTCTATTCTATTCTTATTCTTTATAGACCCTTCTGCCCCGTCGCCGCGCCCGCAAATCTCAATCTCAATTTTAACTTTAACTTCAACTCCAACTTCAAATCCAACTTGAAATTCACTGCACCATTAAATAACCTAATAGTCGAACCCTACGTACAATAGTTGTACGTATCAAAAGCTTACTCAAAATCTCATAAGCTCATTTATTCATATCTACATATTAGTACATCCTCATCCTCACTCTCATCTCCTCTTCATTTCTTTCCCCAAACCAAACCACCAAATCACAAAACTTCAAAAAACTTCAAAAACTTGGAAAATACATAATCTTACTTCTGATTTTGCATCATAATCCTCCTCCCCTTCCCCTCCTCCTCCCACCAAACACCAACCACTACATATCCATCCATCCTATCACTCACCATGCACATGACTAGACTCTCTTCAAACCCTTTACCTCACCCTTTACCTTACCCTTACTCTTAACCTTACCCTTTACCTTAACCTTACCCTTTACCTTACCCTTACTCTTAAAACTCCTACGGATATTAGAACGCACAAATGTATTCTCCTCCCTCTCCCATCTCCTATCTTATAGTTTCATTTTACTATCTTATTATTATTATTATCTTACTTTTTATTCTCATTTTTAATTTCAATCTCAATCTCAATCTCAATCTCAATCTTATTCTCATTTTCATTCTCATTTTCAAACTCAAACCCAAACACCAATGAAATCTCCACTCATATCCTATACTCCCCATCTTCCCAAACAAACTTCCCAGTATACAAGTTCCTAATTCACAAGGAGCTAGAATATAAAGAAACCCATCTACCACCTCTAAATTCCCACGTCACCATCCACTAAATCACACAATCATACACATTCATAAACCAATATATAAAGAGAAGATATTGTAATTAGATTCTATTCTATACTATGTAAAAAAGTAGTGAGTAGTGTGATATCATTAGATACATTTCTACCTCCACCACATTCCATACCATACAATTCCATTCCATTCCATCATGAATCAATCAATCAATCAATCCATGTTTCCAATCATCTCTTTCCCCAATCTATCATCTCCACTTTCAAATCTATAATCAAATTCCAATCCCATCTTATAGCAAGCCATCTAGCTCAAGCCTAACATGACCCCACCCCACCCCAAAAACGCCATTGCATCGCCAAAAAGACCTTTTTCATCTATGGTCTCATGACCCCATTAGAAAGTGAAAAGAAGTAAAAACTCCCACAAGGTATCTCTGCGTAACGCTGATCACATCTGCAACCATTAAGATGCAGTTTCAAAAAGTTCAAATCCCTTTTCCATATCAAACATTCCCTTCCTCCCCCAAAGTCCCATAATTTCTTTACTTATGTCTTCCCAAACTCTGCAAGTTGACCAACTCCGAGTATCTACCTCCCTTGTGGATAAGTTCTGAATGTGTACCACTCTCTACAACTCTTCCTTGATCGAAAACATAGATACAATCCGCCTTTTGAATTGTACTCAATCTGTGTGCAACAGCAATTGTAGTTCTTCCCTTCGCTGCCTTATCCAATGCTGCTTGCACAACATGTTCACTCTCCGAATCCAAAGCACTAGTAGCCTCATCCAACAACAATATTTTAGGATCACGGAGTAAAGCACGAGCGATAGCAATTCTTTGCTTCTGACCACCAGACAACATGCTTCCCTTGGAACCGACGATTGTAGAAAATCCATCTGGAAGTGACATGATGAAATCGTAGATATTAGCTTCACGACATGCGAACTCGATTTCGGAGTCAGGAACATCTTCGCGATCAGCTCCAAGAAGCATATTCTCACGAATGGTGCCTTGGTAAAGGGTTGGTTCTTGAGATACGAGAGCAATGTGCGAGCGGTAGTCGTTGATATTCAAAGTGGAAATTTCCTTGCCATCGACATAGATACCACCAACGAGAGGATCATAGAAACGTTCGAGAAGAGCAATGGTAGTGGATTTACCGCAACCGGAGGCACCAACCAAGGCGACATATTGTCCAGGCTTGACTTGAAGGTCAAGACCACGGAGGACTGGTTGTTCCGGACGAGTGGGGTAGCGGAAATGAACATCACGGAATTCAACATATCCTTCCATGGACTCCATACGCTCTCCATCCTCAGACCAAGAGTCAATGGTGGGTTTGAGATCAAAGAGAATCTTGAGTTCTTGGGCGGCTTGTTTGGCTTTACCCATGTCCGCTAAGATGTATTAGCATGATACTTCAGATTATAGATAGATAGAATGACTTACGTGCAAAGGAAAAGATGGTTCCAGCAGATTGAGCACCAAAGACGACAGCCGAGAAACAGACAAAGAATTGAAACATAGTGTATTCCTTGTTGGCAATGCGTTGACCACCATACCAGAATCCAAGTGCAACACAGAGGAACATCAAAGATTGAGATGCAGCATAAAGCAACGAAGACTTCAAGATTGACCTCAGACTCTTTTGTTCTTGAGCCTTGAGGGAATCGGTATAGTGAGCGAGAACATCCTCTTCTCTAGTCAAGGATGCAACAGTTCGGATAGCACCAGTAGCTTCACAAGCATAACTAGCACTCTTCTCATATGCCTTCTTTGCTCTTTGTTGGAATCTAGCCAAGAGCCAGAATCTAAAGAAACCACAACCAAGTAAAACAGGGATAGTGGCGATACATACAAGTGCCAACTTCCAGGCAATAGCGAGAGAGAGAGCGCATGCGGCGATAAGGGTAGTAATGACTGTCAAGAGCGTACCCAATGTGACTCCAGAGAGACCTGCAACGTGGGTCGTTTCAGTACTCAAGAATGATGTGAGAGCACCTGCAGTGTGTTCTTCCCGGTCGAAGTATTGAATATCCTGGCGAAGCATCGTACGGAAAGCACGGTCACGGACTCTGTGAATAAGTCTCTCTGAACAGAAAGCAAAAGCAATACCCTGACCACAGAATGCAATGAACTGAACAAATGCCAACATAAGGTACATCAAAGACCAGAAATCGACATTGTGTCTGATTGTATGGAAGTTGGCAGGAATAACGGGATAGGAGAGCGAAATGATATTCTTGGCGAAGAATACGGCTTGAGTTGGATTACCTCCACCGCAGATGATGGAAAAGAATAAACCGACCAACATCAATTTCCATTCAGTCTTGTTGAACGAAGCGATCAACTTAATCAATGTCCATAATGAGTCATGTTGTTCAGATGGCGAGAGTTTACCTTGAAGTGCGAGAGAAGACTGAGATTTTTCTGTCAATGTTCGCATTAACTTATTGAGAATATTCTTGTCATCTGGATCCTCAGTGTATTCGATTCCTCCGACCTTGTTAGACATTTTGCGTACAAGTTGATCATCTTTGGCGTCAATCTCTGCCTCCTCCTCAGCAGACATTTCTTTGGTTTCAGCAATCTTCTGAGCTTCGATCAATCTGTAGTAAGCACCTTGTCGAGCAAGTAAGTCGTTATGGGTTCCTTGTTCTACGATGCGTCCTTCAGTCATGACAACAATGTTATCAGCGTCCTTGATGGTGGAAAGTCGATGGGCAATTGTAATAGTGGTTCGTCCTTCAGCAGCGACTTCAAGAGCGGCTTGTACAACACCTTCAGATTTTGTGTCAAGAGCAGAAGTAGCTTCATCGAGCAGGAGAATCTTTGGATCGCTAACCATAGCTCTCGCAATGGCAATACGTTGCTTTTGACCTCCAGAAAGTAAACTAGCTCTTTCACCAACATTTGTCTCGTAGCCTTCTGGTAACGCACTAACAAAGTCATGTGCATTGGCCATCTTGGAAGCTTCGATGACCAATTCTCTTTGACGTTCCTCGTTCTCGTGTTCGAATTTGGTGCCGATAAGTCCATGGCGAATGTTTTCAAAGATACTGGTTCCAAATAATGTAGGTTCTTGGCTGACCAAGGAAATTTGTTGTCGCAACCATCGCAAATTCAAAGTACTAACATCATGTCCATCAATCAAAACCTGACCACCAACGGGATCGTAGAATCTCTCCACCAAACCCACGATGGTACTTTTTCCAGATCCAGATGCACCAACAAGAGCTGTCATTTTACCAGCAGGGATGACCAAACTGACATCATCCATAATTGTGACTTCAGGTCTGGATGGATAGATGTGCTTGATGTTTTTCAATTCGACAGTTCCCTCGAC